AACTCAACTCAGCCCCCCCTTCTGGAGGGACCCTTTCCCAGGCTGGTCAGGATGCCCTAGCCTATGCTCTCCCGCGCTCTGCGGACTTCTCCTCTGTGGCACCTAATCACAGCTGTACTAAGGGATTAGCTGTGGGTCTGGGTGTTTGGTGCTCTCCCCTGCTATGCTGTAAACTTTGAGAATGGAATGTGTGGCGCCATCTGTTTTGTTCATGACAACGTTCCCAGCACTTCCCTCAGTGTCAGCCACTAAGCAGGCCCCCAATGTCTATTTGTTGAAAAAACACCAGTAAATACAAGAGGAAGACAAATTGGGGAGGAGGCTGCTTTGGTTGAAATAAGGATGGAGCCTTGTTTTAAGCAGCAATGTGGGGCCTGTGATACTTCCTACCAAGCCTACCCCTTCCCCCAATAGAGGTCCCTGAGGCCCAGAGTGGGGGACTCTCTGAAAAGCACCGCTGGAGGGGATGAGATGCTCTGACTAACAAAAGGCTTTGTTATTTGTCTTTGGGGTGGGGATGATAGTTATTCTCTTGGCCTCAGGAAACTTTTCTGCTTAGTGGTCAACAGAATAAATGATCAAAGTAGCTTTGTATAGACAGGAAGCATATTTCATTCATTTATTTCAACATCTCCTCTCTTGGGTAGGGAAAGACTGTAAAAGCCATCTGTAGGCTGGTCTGAATTGTATTGTCTTGTGCAAGACTGGATGTCAAGTAGACGTTTCTTTGGAAAAAGTCATCCTGGCCTAGACCCAAACCATCAGGAAAATTGCCTCTGTACTCAACGGATCTATCACACATGGGCCCGGTCCTGGGTTGAGATCATGTGACACAGGGCAGATTGTGTGACTGTAACACTGTTCAGTGTGGTCAGCTGTAATAGAGTGATGGGATCCCTTTATCTGTTCAGTAAGGCGAATTGAAGTGAAAATTACCTTTTGACTGAGTAGCATTGCTGAAGAAAATCAATAGGAGTGGCCCAGGATCCCCTGGCATTGTCTCATTTGAAGTGCTGTAGACTTTCAAGTTGCTGGAACACTAGTTTCAGGATTCAACTTTAAGTCCAGCCGAAAGTAAACAACAGAGTGGGTTACAGGAGAAGTAGCGTGTCTCCACAATCATAAATTACAGAGAAAATATGTGCTAGCCAGAAAGTAAGTCATTTTTCAACCTCAAAATTATTCTTTCCAAATTCTAAGATCCTGTGTCTGACAAGTTTAAGAGAGAGATGTAACAGCTGAAGTTGTCTTTGTTCAAAATGTAAGAGACAGTTTTGTCTAGACTTTCAGGAAAGATATAGAATGACATTTTCAGAACAAATCAAAAAATATTTTTAAATTCCTTTCTCTCCTCCAGGAAGAAGATTTGACATGCTTCTATGCTTTGAATTTGGTTGATCTATAAATGGCCTCAATAGTTTAATATGAAAAGTAGAGTAAAATGAGCCATTGAGAAAAGTTATTAAAATACTGTTAGTTTACTTTCTTACCTTAACAATAATATTACTAGCACCACCAAGTCAGTAACTAATACCGAGTGGTTTCTAGGTATGTGCTAAGCTCTTGACATACATTTTCTGACTTAGTTCTCACAGCAACCCCATCAGGTAGGCATTATTATTATGCCAATTTCCCAATGAAGAAACTGAGGCACAGAGAGTTGGGGTGACTCACCCAAAGCCACACGATCATAGGTGGCCAAGCAAGGACCATGTCTGACTGATCCCCTAAACCTGCCTTCCTTCCCTGCCTTCCTTCCCTCCTCACCACTGTTCTTGTGTCTTCTTTCTCCACAGGGCCAGCATTGTACAAAAGCGCATTATTTATTTTCAAGACGAGGGCTCTCTGACCAAGAAGCTCTGTGAACAAGGTAAGACAGCGTGGGTGGGACGGGCAGATGCGTGGAAGGCAGCTCATTCTGCTGCAGGAATTAAGATGATGGTGCTTTCCGAGTTCCTCTGGGTTCTGCTTCCTCACATAGCTCCGGTTTTTAATCTGGCTGTGTGCTGTGGATAATTGGATCCGCCTTAAGCTCTAATTACTCAGCTTGATTCCCTGGGTAGGAGATAATGTACCTTATATTGGTGTCGTCTTCTTATTTTTGTGAAACAGTGATTATTCTGAAGAGGTTCCTTGGAATAATTCACAGGACTTAATTAAGGAATGCACAATTGTGTACCTTTAGAAAGTCTATAATGGTTCTCTGGAAAAATCACTAGCAGGAACTTGGGGGGCACCTGGACAATATAAGGAGCTTTTCTCCAGGGAAAACCAGCAGGGAACAGAGATGTCAAGGGGGCATTGACCTTGTGATTTCACCATCTTAAAGGATCTGACCCCTAGAGTTGCAAGCGTATCCACCTCCTCTCCTTAGGGTGAAGGACTTCTATAATAACAAAGCTCATGGAGATCAACTAGACTAGGAAGGTTGAAGCTAGGGCTGGATTCAGACCAAGCCCAGGTTTGAAGCTGCCTCTGTTCTTTCTAGCCATGTGACTTAATAGGTAAATAGTACAGTGCCTCCTTGGCACATAGTAAATGCTGTCTGTATAAGTGTTAGCTCTTGTTATCTACATCTGAAAGTTTGTCCACTAATCTGTAAAAAAAAAAAAAAAAATTAAGACCCTAAACATCTAAATGTGTTTAGAAGTCATTAAATAACTAAATAAAAATAGAAAATGTTCTATAATTACACAGTTTAGCCATCTCATTTCTATTTACATTAGCAGAATTTTTATTTGCATTTAGAGCAAATAGTCTTTTGAGAAGAAATAATCCTCTCCAACTCTAGAAAATTATAAGCTATTAGAAAAAGAAAGGCTGATAAAGGCCTTCCAGGAAAACAATAATAATAGCTAATGTTTTCTGAGTGTTTGCTACATGCCAGGCATGTAGGTGTATTCTAAACACTTCCCGTGCATTAATTGTGTAATCTACACAACCCTATATGGTAAAGATTATTGTCTTTATTTTATAGATGAGGAGCCTGAGACACAAAAAGTTTACATAGCTCTCTTGGCATCATACAGCTAGTAGTACAGGGCAGGGTTTGAGGCTAGGAGCCAGTCCCCTTCACCAATGCTTTTCTATCAAATCAACTACCTCCTCTTTCAGGAGCTTGCATCATTGCCTTTGGCAAATCAATGCATTATCCTCCTGTAGATGAACTTGAGTAGAAACTAGGTCATCTGTGGAGGATTGCTTGGAAAGCAAGGAATCAGCAAAGAAGAAAGATTTGGATGCCCTGCATTAGGGTCTTACCTCCCAAAGGGGCCAGAGAGCTGGAACCTGCAAGCCAGAGTCCTGGCCAGCTTCTGGGTGGGCACAACCACATGTGGCTTCTGGGGCTTTCCTTTTCTATGTCCAATTGCCCACAAGTTCACCCAGCCTTTCTGCAAACAGAGCATATCTCCAGTGCTGAGGCTCTTGGTTCCTCAGTGACAATCCCATTCCTGCCTTACTTCCATGAGATGACATGTAGGTGCTGTGGGTTGGTGTTAGGGGTACTCTAGATCACACATTTACAAGCCGCAGGTGCTGTGGTGTGGTTTGACTATCAGAGGACAGCCTCATTTCTAGGATTTAAGGGTTCTTAGGAGACATTTCACTGACACTCTCATGTATTGACAGCAATCGTTAACTAATGTGCACTGCCCCAAAGCCTCAATCCTGATGTTGTGTGAAGCCTTGTCTAAGCTATGGATATGCTACAATTCTGTATATAGGTGTCAATAAAATGGTGTGACAAATCTCTAGTTAATTCTTACTTGTGAGACAGATCCTATCAAAATGACTAATCACACTTCTGCATACAAAGATTGCTTGCCAATGGCAACTTGGTGACAAAAAAAGACGTGGGCTGTAGGATCATTGTAGATAATCTCTGGAGACAGCAGACCCATGAGGAAATCCATCAGTTAGCAAAGCAAATCATGTTAAGAAAGTCTTTAAAATGTAAACAAAGTGCAAAGGGATTTTTAAAATGTGTACTGCTCACTTAATTATCTCTAGTTCTTTCATTAAGGTCTCTACATTCTTTGCTTCCTTGTTGAGTCAAATCAAATCTATCAAGAAAGGAGAGAGAAAGTCTATTATTTTTATCCTCAATTAAAGCCATTAATCCGTAGATGAAAAATTAAGAGCTGCACAGATAAAAAGCAATGGTGATCATTAGTTTTCAAAAACAGCATAAACATTAAATTACTTATAATTAAAAACAGAAACAGAATATTCAAAAAGGTGACCTATAATAAACATATATATACACATACTTTAATATCATGTCAAAATTAAAGGAAAGTATCATGTTAAAATTAAGGGAGAGAGACCAAGAGAAGGGAAAATGAAGGGAAAGGCAGAGAAGAGGGGAAAATGTGAGCAGAGAAGGGATAATGACAAAAGGCAGAAGGGTAGAGGAACAAAGAACACAGGAAGAGAGTTGAAAAGGAAGTCAGTGGATTCAGGGCAGACATGGGAAGAGAGGACAGCTCAGGAGATGCTGCAGGGCCTAAAGTTGGCTATGTTTGGCAGGCCCTGCTCTGGGTAGAAGAGGAGTGAGTTGACACTTGTCATCACTGCCCTTGGAAAGCCTGGTTCATTTTCAATAGGCTTTTCCTCTGTAGGAAACAGTATGTCTGTTTTTATTTTCAAACTTGTGTTTTTTTAAATGGAAGCTTCTTTTCCTTTGGAAATACAAAAGGTTTATTATAAGTGCATTCCTTTGAATCCTTGCAAATATCTTTAAGTTTACCACCTACATCTGAAAGCCCTTTTGGTAAGGTAAAGCTACCAGTCGGCCTTCTTTTGGTTCTTGGAGAGATTATTGCTGCCTCATTTAACAACCCCTGGTAGTAACAATTGAGACCCCAGCATGCATCTCTTAGTTCTGAATCCCTTTCTCAAAGCAGATTTAGGGTTTTTAACAATATTGTTGATCATAATGGGAATGTAAAAAGACAAATTCTTCAGGAGTTACTGATTTATGCTACCTTTCCTGAAATATATTCAGCATGGCTTATCTAAAAGTGGCTCACTCAGGAACCAGATCTGGGCTTCATGTACATAAGGCGACAGGCAGCTTGCTCCTAGGCATGGACACTGCTTGGGCCTCTCCCAAGTGTACAAAATGTAGCCAAACAACGATTTCTACTTTGTGAGGTCATAGCCCTTTTCTTTGGGGCTATTTAGAAATCCTGGAACTTTGTAGGAAGGCAGTTTTTTAAATGTATCATTCTTCATTTGGAAAAAGCAAAACAGAAACAAATAAAACAGTTTTCCCTTATTGGTGTTTATATAGACCTATCCAGAGGTCTTTCCTAGAGTGAAACAATGCAGAGATTAAGAGCATGGGCTCTGGACCCAAAAAGTCCTGAGCTCCAGTTCTGCCTGTACTACTCACTAACCCTGTGACCTTGAGCAGCTTACCTAATTTGCCTCAGTTTACGGACCTGTAAAATGGGAGTAACCGAAGTACCTCCTGGGATTGTTAGGATTAAAGGAGACAATGTATGGAAAGGGATCACGCATACAAGGACTGAATACATTGCAGTTATTATTACAATGTCTCATACTTTTGCCTCTACCCTAGAACCTGGAATTCACTTCTATCCCTGATTTTACATATTCAAACCAAATGAACCTAGTGAATTCCAAAAGGAAGTCTTGTAAAATGCTCTTCCTGACACTCAGAACAATTTTTATACTCTTTGTCGCTGCTCTTCATATAATATTTAAGAATAAATGTCCAACTTGCAAAAAAAACCCCACATTTATGTTAATACTACTAGGCGAACTGAAGATAAGCAATTGAAGGCAGTTGCATCTGTAGTCATTGTTTTCATCCTGCAGGAAGCAGAGCAGACTAAAAGCACAATGTGCAGTTAGGGATGTGGGTTTGACAATCGGAAAGACTGAATTTATTCATGCAATCTCTCTTCCCCACTTATCATCTATTCACAGCTAAAAATGGGGGCCGAGAGGGAATCTTAAGATGTTCCTGGCTGCTTCTATACCCAGAAGTACAGTAAACCTGAACTTAGGAACATATTTTCACCCCCACCCTGCAGAGACTTTCAGTAAAGTCTCCGAGAGCGTGATAAGAAGTGATGTGATTATATATGCATGTATTTTTTTTTTTTTCCATTTCAGCAGTACTTTATGTCTCTCTTCGTGCTCTCACTGCTCTGCTTCAAAGCTGCTCCTTCTGGTCCTGGCATTTTGGTCCCAGAGCGTATTTCTTAGAGAAAACACACATGTGTATTCCTCTTAAAATGTGGTAGCAAAACCCTGTAGTGAGAGAGTTGGGGAAGGAGACCAAGGGCCAGAAAGGATGATTGAGTGAATTTTCCCCCTGTTGTCCCAACATAGCCCCCATCCCAAATATTCTGCCCTACTGGTCCCATAAAGCTCCTCAAATTATTAGAGCAAAAGCTCTGAATCTTTTTTCTTTCCACTTGCAAAATATTGTCACCATACTTAGAGATTTCTAAAATCCTTTCTAGCCTAAGTACAGACCTGAGTCTGATCACTCAATGAAAACTGCATCTTATATTCCTAGGGGTCAAACCACCATGGCACTGCCTTAATGCACAACTGACATTTGCATTCTCTCTTGGCGACTTTGCTTTTCCAGATTCCATGTTTGACGGGGTGACTGACAAACCAATCTTAGACTGCTGTGCCTGTGGAACTGCCAAGTACAGACTCACCTTTTATGGGAACTGGTCTGAGAAGACACACCCAAAGGATTACCCTCGTGAGTACGGTAGCTACTTTGTGGGTTGGGGGAAACCACACTGCCAAAGTTCTGTCTGGGCGTGGGGCACATGGGCTGCAGTGGGTCAGATCTCCTCCCTGTTATCCATCGATTCATCACTTGCACATTCAAAGTACGTAGTAATTCACTGAGACAGGCAGACATAATAGGGCTATGCTGTTAGCTTCTTTGCATAGCATTGTTCTAAGTGTTTTCTTACCTGTGATTAAAAAAAATTCTCCTGAATTCATGCTGCTTCTCTTCAGGTCAGTCATTTGGTAACCTCAATCCTCCTGAAATGACCCTCTCCATGAATTATGCAACAGGCCTATTGGTGCTAGAACTAGCTGGCAAAAGGGACGTGCTCTTGCAGATCAAGGTCAACAAATACTCAACCACAGCAGGCATTGGTAATCAATCAGTATGCCCTTTCCCTACTGATTCTGGCTGCTACCTTAGAATCCCTGCATGACACGGTGCTCCAGATAGCCAATACCAGCCCATGAGAATTGTCAGGAAACCCCACATTTGTTACTTTGAAGTAGATCTTTAATCAGGATCATACAATTTGATCACGTAGTTGTTTCAACAAATGCCTAACATGTGCTAAGCACTGTGCTCAGCCCTGGAGGTATAATAGTGAACAAAAAAGATGCAGCCCATGCTCTCATGCTACGCAGGAGTGAGTAAGGAGACAGACGCTAATCAAATAATTACTCAAAACAGGCCAGGTGCAATGGTTCATGCCTGTAATCCCAGCACTGTGGGAGGCCGAGGTAGGTGGATTGTTTGCGCTCAGGAGTTCGAGACCAGCCTGGGCAAGAGTGAGACCCTGTCTCTGCTAAAAAAAAAAAATAGAAAGAAATTAGCTGGACAACTAAAAATATATATAGAAAAATTAGCCTGGCGTGGTGGCATGCACCTATAGTTCTAGCTATTTTGGAGGCTGAGGCAGAAGGATTGTTGAGCCCAGGAGTTTGAGGTTGCTGTGAGCTAGGGTGATGCCACGGCACTCTAGCCCGGGCAACAGAGTGAGACTCTGTCTCAAAAAAAAAAAAAGAAAAATCACACAAAACAATGTGAAAATGACAACCATGAAGACTTACTGTGTACCAACCAAGCATTTTTACATATATCACTTAATCCTCAAAATAACCTGTTTTTGTGGATGACCTCACTGGGGATCAGAGAGATGTCACAATTTGCCCACAGTCAAATGTAAGTAATGGATCCAAGATGTGAAAAAGGATTTGTCAGGCTCCTTGTCCTGCCGTTAGTTCAGGTTGCTTTGGGAACCCTGTGTTGCCCACTCTCTCTGCCTGTGGGTGGCAGGCTGTCCGTGTGTGGCACTGAGCATGTTTGTTCTGTTCATTGTCTGTTTTGTTCTTGTGCATGTCACTTTGGAGTTACCACAGCTGGGAAGGAACAGTAGGAATGGGAGAAAGAGATTAAAGGAGAGGGATTTGGGTCAGGTCCCAAAGGCAAGGGGAGAAAAGGGTACATGGCTGGGACTTTCGAAGACTCAGGCCAGACCAGAACCTCTGTGATCCCCAACCAGCCCACCCAGAGGGAACTCCAACATTTGCTGACAGATCAAGAGCCCCATTGTTTAATTTTACCCACATGCAATCAAGGCTTGGGATCTTTGAAGCGTCTTACTAATTCATTCTTCTGACTCTGGGATTCGGCCTGATCTGCTTCAGCTGGTGTGGGAGACCTGCGTGAACAAACTTGGACTCTGCCCGGAGGGGGGGAAAAAAACACTTGGAACAAGGATGATGGAAAAAATTTCCTCCAGCCCCTCCCATCCACTAACCAGAGGAAATAAAATGTTAGGAGCCCGTTACTCATCTTTTGTGATCGTAAGGAGCTTCTTGCCCTTTTCTATTCTGCCACTGTCATTTCTCAGAATCGGGGGGAGGGGGCAGACTGTACAAAACCATTGTTTTTGGGTCCTTGGACCAAATCAAGTACAAAGCTATACGGAATTTTTGTGGAGTTGTTGGGAGTTTCTTAATAAATACAGCAGAGATGTGTTCCAGATCTTCTAGGATTGTTTCATTGTCAGATATTATGCCACATTGTGTCAGTTTGTGTACTAATTTTTGGTTGGGAAAATTTGGTCACTTATGTACAAAATAGCATTTATCACATCATACTGCAATTATTTCTTCGGGAGTCTTTCTTCTTCACCAGACTGAGAAGTCCTCCAGGGTAAAAGCCATGCTCATCTTTGACTCTTAGTGCCTGGAAGAGCCTGGTGCCTTCCCAAGCGCTGTGTATTGACCGTTGAACTCAGAGTGGTACTCACTATGACCCGGGAGCAGAGGTCTAGCCTATGCCCAGTCACGATAGCCAGTACTGAGCGGGGAGTGTGGGCCACACCTTCCTTGGCGGGAAAGGGGTGAGCTTGTACACTTGGGACTAGAGCCATTTGGAGGGGCACAGAGAGGATCTAATCAGGACCTTGAAAAGTTGATGTTCTCAAGAGTGATTTCTACCAATCTTAGGTCATAGATGAGTTTCCTTTTGCTGTTGCAGGGATGATTCTGTCTTGATAATCAACCCTTGTCATCAAGCCCAGAGAAGCTTCCCCACAACAGTACAAACTGACAAATATCAAGTCCCCCACTCCTTTATTCATTAGTCATCCAAAACACCAGTTTCTCCACCAGATCTTAGGACAGTGGTCCTCAAGCTTTTTAATCTCAGGACCCCTTATGCATACTTTTGTTTATATGTCCACCAATGTTCACTGTATCAAAAATTAAAGCTGAGAAATTTTTAAATATGACTTATTAATTTTTAAAAGAAACAGTAAATTAAAAATAAGCTCATTACAGATTAACATAATTAATATATTTGATGAAATTAACTATGTTGTCCAAAACAAAAGAAGTTTAATGAAAAGGGTGCCATTGTTTTACATGCTTGCGAGTCTCTTTGCTGTCTGGCTTAATTGGAGACACCTGGATTGTCATTCACTTTTGTTTCTTCATTCAACCTGTTGTGCTCTGTTATTTTGGCTGAAGTACATAAAGAAAATTCTCTATAGGGATATGCATTTGGAAAAGAGAAGAGTATTTTAATAACCTTTTCAGATAATTATGGATAATCTTCTTTTCCCCTACTCCAAAATTCTCTGAATGGTAGTTTTTTAAAGGCTAATTACAATGTAGAATATGAAACTATATGAATGAACTTGTACCCTGTTGTATTAAAATGCATTGCTTTACTTTCAACTTGAATGGATAGTGTATTAGGTTATTAAGTATGAAATGTCCGATTTCCATAAGTGCCGAGTTTGACAGTTGATATCTCTGATACTTCATTTGACACTTCTAGTTTTATTTTTATAGTGAAAGTACATCCACAGTCTTTCAAACCCATGGGTGCTTCTGGGTGCCTTGTACATTTTTTTAGAGCAATTTCTGTGAAACCATGGATAAGTCAAAAATTTATGTTATTTTCTGATATGAACTCCATCATTGAACCAATACAGTGCAGACACCTCAAACTATCAATGAAGCGTCTGGGAAGGATGTGGCTAATGAACACAGCACGTCAGTGGTTTGAGAAGTTCCGTTCTGGTGATTTTAATCTTGAAAATGAGCCAAATGGGTGACCTGAGACCAAGGTGGATAATGACGGGCTGAAAATTGTAGTGGAAGTGAATCCATCTCAACATATGTGTGAATTAGCAGCAAGGTCTGACATCACTATTCCAATAATATTGGACCATTTGAAACAAATTGGCAAAGTAAACAAGCTGGATAGATGGGTTCCACGTGAATTAAACAAGCATCAGAGGAGAAATTGTCTTGAAGTTTGCCTTTCTTTGCTGTCATAAAGGTGAATCATTTCTACACTGTATTGTTACGTGTAATGAAAATGGACTGTTTTTGACAACTGCAAGCATTTGGTACAATGGCTGGATAAAGATGAAGTGCCGAAACACAGTCCAAAACCAAATAATTAATCAAAAAAAGCTAATGGTGTCTGTTTGGTGGTCCAGCACTTGTATTATCCACTACAGCTTCATGAAACCTGGTCAATCAATTATCGGGGATGTCTACTGCAACCAACTGGATGAAATGATGAAGATGCTTGCGATTAAGAGCTGAGATTGGTCAATAGAGACAGGCCAATCCTCTTGCAAGACAACGCTCAACCACATGTCTCTCAAACAACTTTGCTCAAACTACAGAAGCTAGACTTGCAAACTCTGTCATCCATCATATTCACCCAGACCTTGCCCCACTTGACTACCACTTCTTCCAGGCTTTGGGCCACTTCTTACAAGGAAAAATATTCAGTTCTCAACAAGTTGTGGAAAACACCTTTTGTAATTTCATCACCACTCACTCTCCAGGCTGCTTCACTGCTGGCATAAGCAAGCTACCTTTAAGATGGCAAAACTGTCGCTAGGTTAGGCGCATACTTTGATTAATCATACTGCTTCTTGTCTGAGATATAATAAACTACACTTTTGATTGGAAATCAGACATTACATATTTAATGACCTAATACAAATCCATAATTTTGTAACATCATGCATTGATCATTTGGAAAATACTGGTTTACTGAGTTATGCAGATTATCCAGGTGCTGAGACAGTTCATTAAACAATATTGAAAATCACATCCATTAATATCACTACTAATCTCATCAGAAAAAGTTTTTAAGTATTGGAAAGCTATCAAGTTTGTAGTAATAGATACAAGTTTTCCAGAATTCTGACTTTTGCTTGAAAAGCTTGAATTTTATCATTGGCAACAAATACTGTCAGTTGTTTTCCTTGAAGTGACAGACTCACTTCATTTTTGAGGAAATGTATGCCAAATTCCCAACTCTGAATAACCATAATTTGTCTGTCAGTCATTTCTTCTTTCAAGTAAAAATGATTTTTTATGAACAGAAAAGTGGCCAGTCCAGCTTGCACCTCAAAGAATCATGTAAGTACTTTTATTCAAGACAATCATAGTACTTCAGTATATAGA